TAGTTGACTCGGGTTGAGTTGTGGTTTCTGAATTCGGAGTAGTTGACCCGGATTGAGTTGTGGTTTCTGAATTCGGAGTAGTTGACCCGGATTGAGTTGTGGTTTCTGGTTTCGGAGGAGTTGTAGGACACTCTTCCAGCATACTGTTTGTGACTTCGTTACAAGTCTGACCCTCCCGTGGATTGCACACATAGCACTTCAACGCTCCACCTAATTTGAAGACAAACATTTGTAAGTTTCTTTCCATCGAATAGATACTGCAAGGACTATTAGATATTTGAGGCTTTCATGGCCCGTTTCTTCATAGTTGATACTAACTGAGGCTCCCGGGTTTAACCCGTGTTCATTAAATATGAAGCTGCCACATTTTGCTAGAATTTTAGCTACCTCCTCCGAAGGTCGCTTGACCGCAACCTATCTACCGAGGTTAAGTTTTGTTAGGTCCGCACTGATAATATCGTTGTCTTTTGACCACTGAAGATGGTGTCTGCACTGCTGGCGAGACATCGGAGTATCTCATCCAAAGGACACGGCACACACGCGGAAATCTCGATTAGTATCAATCACGAAAGATTATTTGCATTACTCTCGTGGGTAATCATAATATAATATCCTTTGAAGTCAATATAAGCAAGTCAAACTAAAGCTCAAAGAAAGAAAGTGATACGACAGGATTAATTTCACTTAGTATTCGTTCAGACGAGTATCTTACCTAATGGTAGAGCGACGAATGCGATGATAGCGAAGAAGACCAAAGGTCCGCGAGACATGATCACTGAGGATGTATTTCGATTGACGTCGATAGTACAACAGCTCATACGCGAATGCTGTGAAGCTTGGAGGAATAGAAATACTCTTTCCGAGCTTATCACGATAAACTTCAAGCTTATCTCAATAGAGACCTCCAATCAATACCATTACCTTGGTGGAAACCAATCAACGTGTGCGTAAAAACTCAAGATATTGTAGATCCGTTGTTCCCCTTTATCTGTTTCTAGTTTATACCGATCATCTTGACTCGTTTCGCGATCCATGAATCAAGAAGATACGTCGTCGATGATTCGTGTTTCATGTTGCAATTGAAACGCATACAGCCCGCCTCTATGTTAGGAATTTTGACCCAAGGATATCGTCTTGTCGATAACCTTGAACTTGAACACCGAAAGTGAACGATGCAGGTTTGACCATGGCGAATATACCGTCCCTCGACGGTATCGATCATTATTGAATCTATTATCCATCGATCATCGATGATTATCTTTAGATTATCGAAATAATGCGAACAAGATAGAGAGTGCTAATTTTTTTATTCAATTTTGCTTGGTGGCTTCCACTTGTGCGGTATAAATTCCGTTAAATTATATTGCATGGAATCGATACAAATTTAATTGTGCAATTTTTTGCCTTAATCTATTTGAAACTTGTTATATCTTATGCTATGCATTCGTTGCATATTGTTGCACCGTTCGAATGCTATCGATAGATTATACTGCATTCTTTCACGTTTCTTACGATGATACTTGTAACAAATTTTGCAGTCATCGTTTCCATTTTCAATTAATTCAATTGCTAACTGCTGTCTCTTTCGCCAATAACTATTGCGATTGGTGGGCCCCTTCCTTAATCGTTCTAGGGATCAAATTTAAAGGAGATTCAGAGGTGGAACATTATTCTTAACAGTGTTATTAAACTGGATTCCCTACAACGCGAGCCGCAATTTTCACTGAAAATTATACTCGAGGTTGTAAGGAATACGCGTTACCGTAACGTATCATGATTTTTGGTGCGTTCAACCGAGAAACTTACTAGACCGTTATTTCAATCTGTTGTTATGTTGACTCCTTCGCCAATTTTCGCCAAAACGCGATGCAAAGAAAAATATTATAGTGCAAAATTTACTGGAAACCTTTTGTACGTTATACTATCTTGTCATAAAGTGCTTAACGTTTCACAAAGGTCTTGGAAACAAACATACAATCAGTAGACGCATTATCGCACGATAAAGTGAAGTGTCCATCGCGATCTTACATATAGTCGAGGGAAACTGCTTTTCAGAAATGAAAATTGAATTACTTTCGTGATTTTAATTCAACCCATATCAATATTAAGTAAGAGACCATCAAACAAGACTTTTTGACTGTATTTACATTCAGATAAGAGAAGATAACAATATCCATTCGTGACTTCTTTTAATCTTAATGTTTCCTTTAGGACAGCTTCGATGGATGCATAAAAATAATATTGTCTCGGCCATAATTTCAGCGAATTTTGCAAGGTATAAATAGCTGCGCAACAAATATTTTTTACATAGGTGCATACATTTTTCCATTGAAAATTACATAACGAGGAGAAACCGAAAAAATGGAGGGTATAAAATTCTTGCTCAGTATGGTGGTCGTTTTTATGATTGCTTTTATCTCTTTAGGCAACGCAGAACCCGAAGCTGACCCGATGGCAAGCCCGGTAAGTCGGTATACTTTGCTTCTGAATTTTCAAAAGTTTCTTTCTGCATCTTTTCTACTCTATTCCATCTGATAATAAACTGTCCAAGCGATTCAACGCTTCAGAGGCAATATTTGCTGAGAAAACTTGACTGACCCATCTTCTCATCAAATCTATGCTCTGGATAAACCAATGATTGTACAGTACATATGAAATCGTCTTGTCGATCTTCATCAAGCAAGGAAACTTTCAACTGTGGATAATGTTACGATAATATTTTGTAACGTGTAATATCGAACGTCGTTCGATGACCAATTCACCATGCTTCATAAGCGATATTTCTTTTTCAGGATCCTGAAGCTGATCCAGTAATCCTCGGATTACTATCGACACTTCTTCCCCACTTGGCCAATCTTGGCTAAAATGTATGTATAGAATTTAAAATAAACAGAAATTGATAATGCAAATTTTTCGTTTCGTCTCATGATTCTTGTTCCTTGTTCCCTCCGCTACATCCTTTGACAAACTTTGGAAATTCAAGACTGTTGGGTTACACCTTGCAAGAAGAAAGGAAATTAAACGAAAGCAAAACGGAAGAAATCAAAATAGTTTTATAAATTTTAATCGCTAATACTCCACGTCTATACGTTGTATACCATTTTATTATAATCATCGATATCTATGAACACGATGGATTTATATCTGTATTCTATAGAAGCATCGTAGGAATAATAGTTTTTTCGCAGTTACGCCTTTTTTTTTTATTTCGAAAGAAACTGTTTCGCCGACCGTTTCAGCCGAAAGTCTCGAAGGTAGACTTTATTGCACAATAAACTGAGGCGACTATAACGCTCGTAGATTATGGTTCAAAGTATTATCTTTACAACAAAGGAAGTTCTAATACCCGTAAGCGTTATAATGCCATTGTTTATCATAAATTTTGCAATCGTTCGGCGAAGAGACATTGTATTTACATTCGACGCGATCATCGAGTATCTCTTTGATAGTTTAATATGAATGCATACAAATAATATTGTCTCGACAACAATTTTAGTTGATTTTGCCCGATATAAATAACTGTGCGACAAGTGTTTTCGATAGTGCAGCAGAAATTTTTATAACCAAGATTAAAGTGACAAGGTGTGACCAGAAATATAGAGTCTGTACGATTTTTACTAGCAATGATTTTTTTTCTTTGGCAAGCCCGGTAAGTCGAGAAACGTTTCTTCTAATTTTTCAAATCATTTCTTTTGTTTATTCGAACAACTTAACGGTTGTTAAGTTAGTGTGATCTACGCTCTGCATAATTATCGTACAATTATCCTATTCTGTTTTTCACTTTCTTAACACGAACTTTCTTTCTGTTTTAGGACGCAGTACCTGAACCTGGATGGATGTCCACACTAGGAGCACTTGTCAAGACTATCACGGGATAATCAGTTGTGTTGCAAGCACTTTTGAGTCGTAGTGCCTGCAAGAACCTGAGTGTAACTCAAACCCATAAAGAAATGTCGCATGCACAGCTTCTGACATAACCACTATATGCTATTAAATGCAATAAGCAATGAAAACAAAAGTAAACCGTTAATAAATTTTATTTTTTATTATATTCATAAGTTCGTGTACGTATTATTCCACAGATATACCCGTCACATTCGTTTCAAGCGTCATTAGCCTATACGAGGTATCAGTGGAGGAGCTGCTTCCGGGTTCTGCACAGAAGCGATTCGTTTGAATTATGACCTAAGATACATTGGTTGGAAAAAGATTCAAGCAGGTCGGCCCAGCGAAAGTAAAGCTCTATGTTACCGCATCTGCCAATGGATCGGCTACAGGCGATGCAACTGCGATAGAAGCGAATGCAATCATCGCGGTGATCGCTGCGCAAAGCAAAAATCTTGCGGCTTGCATGTTTGCGTTCTCTTTTCTATGTTTAAAAAGTCGACCAGTGCGATGCTATTTATACTCGTGGACGGGCATTAAAGTAATCAGTTTCGAAACTTACGATTTCTTGTTTAATGTGAGAAAGACGAGATACGGTTGTGTCGTGAACGTGACTGGCGCGATACATGTTTATTAGCAATGAATGCAGTGTAATGACAAATAGTAAACTTAATATCGTGACATCTGCCGGATAGTGTAAATGTGAATCAATATGCAGCGTTGTAATTTTATTTAGAAAGGAATTTTAGATGAAAGAAGAACATGCCAATGAAAACGAACCTTGAGTTGCTTTAGTTCTGTTTTTGGGACAACAAGGAGTTTCAATCGATACTTGGCACACTCATTTTATTTGTATATGAGAACTTTACTCGAGTGTGTTTCATTTAACGTATTAGCTTCACAAAAAATATTCCATTTTTTTATGAGGATCTAAATGTACGAAGTCTTGTTTTTATTACTCGTGGAATTTCAGTATTTTTTACGATCATAGTGATTATACAATTGCATATTCAATCGTGCGATGCTTATTTTTTTTTTTTTTTTTTTATCAGTTCTTTCGATAACTTGAAAAACTGCGTAGTTAGAGTGATTAGTTTGATGTTCCTCCGTTAGTGTAAATAGCATTGCAGTAGTTGAACTTGTGTTGAACAGAGGACAGAAAAGCCTGAATATGAAAGCAGTAAGATTTTTGCTCGGTGCAGCGATCTCTCTGATGATTGGCCTAATTTCTTACTCCGGGGCCAATCCTGTGGCTGATGCGGTAATGTCACAGCGTAATCCAACTTACTTGAATTTTTTGATAAAAATGGTTTCAGTTACAATTTTCCAATAAAATATTTCCTTTCGGGATCCCGAACCGATAGATCCAAAAGTGTTGCAATCCCTTCTAGGCAGCTAGGATTGAAAATAGATATCGCAAAAGGATTTCACATTTATATCTGTAATACTATATGCAACATTATGCACTAACGAATATAAACTTATTAACTTTCACGAATAAAATGTTGTAGCATTATACTGGTTTGGAAATGTATCTGGTCTTAAGTGCTTTTTACTAGTCTCGATTCTTAATTCCTACAAATCCCTATCAAAAAGTCGATAAAAGACTATTACAGTTGAGAAAAATGAATGACCTTCAGATGCCTACGACGCTCTTTTTCACAGGTGGACAATACAGAATACACGTTTGCTCTGCATATACTTCAATTCGGGACTTTGTGGGTGTATCGTCAAAAAAATATTCTGAACCTTATTTTTATTTAACTCTATTTGAGTCCTCGAGTCCTCGAGAAACGAGTTCAATTGCGAATTGTTACCTTGACACCGAAACCATTAAGGAGGGTCAAGGAACGTCTGTTCAACGAAACACGAAAGGCCAAAAGTGCCATCAAGGTTCTCCTCGACAATGTTTCCATTGTGGTTCCTGATTGTCTTTCCTTCCGCTCGTTATTCGAAGGAAAGCATGTTCTTTTGAGAAGCATTTATAAACGGCAGAGTTTATAAAATACCGTATTTTTGCAATAACGGAAACAAACAAAAATTGCATATTAGCGTCTTGTATTCCCACGAACGGTTTCGCGTTAGTTTTCATAGTTCGATCGTATATTACATGAGATCACCGCCAACATCGTTATCTTTCAAATGTGACATCCGATCAGATAAACAGTTAAATAAAATCAGATCGATAAAGTTTGTCGAGTAATCTTCCCAGGTATTATATTTTACTTTCCTACACGCTGAACATTACAGAAATACGTATTTTTGTCGAAACCGAAAGTTCACGGGGCGCCATGAAAATATTTTTTCCAGAACTGTTGCTCGCGGGATGTCGTCGAAATATTTGTTTCAAAATTGAAGTTTGCTGGACGTTGTACAAATATTTTATAACAAAAATAATATTGCCAAGATCAAAAAAGAAACGGTAGTACCGTTTGCACATTGCAATAACAAATAAATAGCTTGTGACGTCTAAATAAAGATATACCCAATATCTTGGCTCGATATCAATATTTTCACAATCATATCTATGCAACGATATGACGTATTCAATCACGTTGCCTGTAAGAAAACGCACACGTGTGACTCTATTTCTGGTAAATGATCATTACGAGAAGTCATCGTTACGATTGCAATTTTTTTATTTAGAAAACGCGGAGATCGTCAAAGGAACCGAACAAACGTTTTCTACCGAGAATTTGAACAATAGAACGTGGACGCCTCTTTCTTTCTTTTTCCATTTGAAATGAAAAATATTGCAATCGCGATAAGGTATGTCTCACAGATAGATACATGCAACCGAGACTCGAATGTTGCATCAATAAATGTCCGTTATTAAAGGATATTTTATAGTAACTATACACTTTACCTCTTCATTTTCTACTCAGATATAATACTCTTCACTTAGAACAACAATTTTCGATTCAACGAACAAAGGTAAGTAAACTTAGTAAATAAAGGCTGACCGAACAATAAAGTATTGCTTTGAACTAGTGGCTTCACTAGTAGACGTGCTCGCCGTGTGCTGAGCCGCTAGTGGTGCCCACGTCTGCTTTAAACGTTTTTCAAATTCCTTTTCGTTGAATCAGAATAGAAAATCTTCTCACAGCGTTCATTCTCAAAAAGAGAATGATAAGTAAACTCCTAAGAACAGGTTCTAGGTAATCTTCAGATATCTGCAGATAGTAATATCCACGCTATCGTAACAGTGGTAACGAACAAATATCCCTGAAATAACCTCGAGGATTCCTAGATATTCTGCGACGTACTATATATTTTCGGTAGTAGATACTGCATGCAATTTTTCTATCGGCGAGTTTTAATCAAAGTCGTGATAACTGATAGTGCATCGATAAAATCTTGATATATAGTTGAATGCAACAACAGCGATAACGATATTTCACGTATTGCATTTTTTTTTAAAACCGTTTTTAGATTATTTCGAACGCCAGTAATTGAAAATGTAACTATATCATTATTAATTTATCGGAAATTGGATAAATCACTTCTCTCGGAATCGTCTTTCGCTTCTCCAAACAAGTGTTTACGTCTTCGATTAAATTACAATCATACAAGATGAAATAATCCTCGTTCAATAGAGGATGTCTCAATCATATCTTCCTTATCGAAAATCATAATCCATCCTGGTGATAGAAAACGGGCAACTTGAATATTTCTCGCAACACTTTAATCATTTATTATCCCAAGACCTTGAAAACAAATAGCGATCGATATACGCGTTATTCAGCCATAAAATGGAACGTACATCACTTTCCTAGATACATTTCGATGCAATGACCCTGCAGCAAATAGAACTTCGTTCTTTTTACTTTATTTTAGTTTTTATAGTTTCAGGGGATACGTAAAAGATAACACTACCTCGACAGCATTTTTTATGGACTTTTTTTCTAATATAAATAGCGACGCGAACCACTGGGTTCGACAAGAAACAGAAATTGTGCAATACAGAAAAGTACCACGAAGCAACCGGAAGTATGAAGGCTATTAGTTTCCTGCTCTGCGTCGCAGCCATTTTCATGGTTGCCTTTATATCCTTCAGCAGCGCAGAGCCCGAAGCCGATCCGATGGCAGACCCGGTAAGTTGAGACGCTTTACGTTTAAGTCGTCATGTGACTTGGCACACTTCACGAGCCATTGTAATTTTTCTATTTACATCCGTGTAAAAAACGGACCATTGGAAAATATGGAAATACTTGATATTGTGCTCTCGATAATCTGCAAATCTGAAATCAGTTTCATCCCTAACGATTTGTTCAATTAAAAAATACGAAAGAATTGAAACGGGACATTGTCATGTCGTATCGATAATAAATTGGCCAGTTAAGTTACCGCGAATCGGCTTTTCTGTTTAGGAGGCAGAAGCTGACCCCGGTATCATGGGTAGCCTAATGAAGAAATTGGTGTCACATCTTGCGAAAGGATGAATAATTCGCAATACAAACACTCTACCGATCTTCGAATTATAATGGCAATGGACGCTACAAATTTATATATAATAAATATATATATTGATCATGCAAATTACTTAATTCGTGGTTTAATATTTCTATTCCGATTTTCGTAACAGACACATTTTCCAAAACAACATTTTTTGCCAACCTATCCCTACCAAAACTGAAAACATCAAAAATTCTCGAGAACACCACAAATCATTCGAGGTAGATCACTACCGCGTACAACGTTTCATGTTCAACACCTCAAAACACGTGTACACGCACGTCATTCATCTCGAGGAAAATAGAGGACACAGCCGGAAGGTCGATCGATCATAATCGCTAATCATTTGCATAACTGGTTCGTCGTTGATTTGTCATCCGCCTTTCGAGCCGGACCGGTGCACGTTTGACCCATAAAATGGGACTCGCTGAACAAAAACCTTCGAATCAGGTGAAAGCACCGACTGGAGAAAGCCTTGGCTTATTGTTGCTTCGGGATTCGTTGCGACCTTCCTTCCCAATCGTCTGGCACACTTTAATGGGCCAGTCACAGGTGACTTCGACGTTGACTTCGCGCAGGTGTAAAATCGCCCAAGCTCGCTGTTCGCGAGCGGATAACGGAACTCGTGGCAAACGCGAATTGTGCCTAGGTACTTGGCACTCTATCACCCATATGATAATAATAAATAAAGTGCTATAGTTATTTAGGATTCCCGTGGATGGAAAGAATAAGGAAGATAGGGCGAGCGACGAGACGCGGCGAAATGCAAAGCGTGACTCATCTGCGGTTTGGATTATGCGAACGAAGGTGCACAGTGCACTCTGACTGCCAAGTTCAGGGCCAACGAGATTCAATCTCCCATTAAAATTACAAAACGAAATACCACCAGCGTCCCCCTACCGTCTGCTCCCCCGACTTTCACTCCAGACGTGCCGCGTTACAAGAAACCCGTCGTTTGCCGACCATTGAAATTCATTAACATGAAAAGGTGCGCGCCGCGAACGAGGGTCAAAGATCCAGTCGGTGGCGTTAAACCTTGTGTCAATACGTGAAACTTTCACGCAGTGCCTAGGGTATCCAAGTACCCAAGAGTTTGCATATTGCTGCTTGAAAACGGTCTCCGCGTTGATCACTAACCCTTTGGCCAGTATGGACGCGTATTTACGTCGTATTCCAGTGTATTGTAGTATAAATGTACTTTCGAAATTTTACGTTGAAGCACTTTGGTACTATTTAGTGACAGTTGGTAGATCTTGCACTGGAGTTCTATATGTTCTCCACATTGCTAGCACGGTACTCTTCCAGACCAGGTAAACATTTCTCCTGAGCGACACAGCCTTTGAACAATTACAGCTCGATTGTACCAAACCGTCTCGCAACTCCTCCGCAAATACCAAACAAGGAAGTCCTCTGATTCGGAAGTCCATTATTCATCAAGTTTTCTACTCTGTCCAAGGAAGACTGTCCATGTTCTTACCTTCACACATGGACTCTTCGTCATCTTCGAAACTGACCTAAACCCGTATATTTAGAATAGCGAAGGCATTTTAAATGGCAGCAAAACTTAAACCTAACCCTCGTAACGTGTCGAGAAGCAAACGCAACCCTGGCTCGCGAGACAGTTCACGAGAAGGCCAAAGCTGACTGGTTTACATTCGCGCTCACGCAGAGGAAGAGTGGTAGCCGGTTGGTCAAGTTCAGGGCTAACAAGATCCGATCCAGTCGCGTCTTTTTCCGTCGCGAAGGGCGCCGCAAAAGGCGCATCTTCCGCTCGCGCAAAAGATGCCGTAAAACCAGAACCTTACTT